AGGGGCTCAAATTTGTGTTTCTTCTGGCTTCACACACCCAAGTTGTGCTGTGTGTGTCCGGGGAGCAGCGTGGGTGGGTGGAGATGGCAGCAGGGGGTTCATCAATGGCAGGTTGCTGAATCAGGAACCCTGACACTTGTGAAGTACTCTGTCAGGAACATTAAGTATCCAAAAGTGATAAAGCTTCAATTTGCTAGTCCATTAGACTAATTACTGCAATAATTAAGTAACTACTTGATTAGAACTAATGGGTACCTAATTATCCAGGAGAAAAGTATCAGGTGGCAATTATCAGGTGGCAATTAATAGACTGGAGTTAATGTCTTAGCACTGTCTTTGTATGAATTCATAAGCAAGGTAAAGAAAACAAACAATAACTTATTAATATTTATTGATGCCACAGTGTTTTTCAGCTTGTTTCATTTACACAGAACCAATTAGTGAAAAGACAGTTAGCGTTGCAAAGATGTAAAGTGACTGAAGCAGGAGTTTGATTTTAAAGGAACAGGATCACATTAGCACTTATAAGCAAAGACAAATGGGTATCAGCCAGGGACTTGATTCTGGTGCTACTAATTCATCAACAGAAGAAATCAGAGTAATTGAACTCAGTATTAATAATGAAACACATAGGGAGGCAGTTCCTGTCTTAATGGGGTTCACTTTAGTTTTGGTCCCTCCCTGGGTCTCCATCAGCTTTTTCTACACTGCCCGGGAAATGCAGAGAGCCCTCGGCGCACAAACGGGAACTTCCCGCTGGCAGGGGTGGGGAGACACGGCACAGAATCCTCCAGATCAGTGCTGCCAGCTCTCTGAAGGACACAGATTTCCTGGACAGCTGAAGCCTGGGTGCAACACAGGTTCCATCATGAAGGCGAGATTGTACAGCTGAATTCCTGCCCGTTCTCTGTGCTGGTGTAAAGAAACCACAACAGCAGCTCCATTCCTGGAAATTCCCCCTTAGCTCAGCGCACTTGAAACATCACTGTGAGTTCCTGTGGATGAAGTCTAAGAGTAAATTTAACCTGCTATGGACCTTAAATCGGAGTGTAGTTAGCTTTTTTTTTTGGGGGGGGTCTTTTGTATTTTATTTATTATTTTTCATGGCTGTGCAAAGGTCCAACTTCTCAGATTACATAATTTTCTATCGTTTCTTTGAGGTCAATCCAACTGTAGTGATTTTTGCAGAATGAAACTATGGCCTAGGATGTACTTTTCTTGCTCTCCTCTCCAAATTCAAGGAGCTTTACATCTCCCAGCAGAAAAATGAAAAATACCAGGGTTTTCTTTCCTACAAATCTTTATGATCCTAATGATCCTCTAAAATGGCTTCAATCCAAAAACAGTTGTGCATGCAAGTTGTCTCCTTGTCTCTCTATGGGAGATCTCATATTAGTTATAATTACTCTCCTGAGTAAGAGTTGTTAAAATGTGATATACAATGAACTTGTGACTGATTTTAGAGAACAGAATGAAGAGTTCCCTTAAAAACCTCACTCCTTTGATATTCAGCTGTTCGTAAATGAAAGACCAAATTCCAAGATGGCTTTTGCAGCTCTGCACAGTACATGGATTTATGGAAGTGGAGGATCTTTCTTCTACAACAGCTATTCCACCCCCCCACCCTGCTTTTTTCCATGTTATAAATAAGTGAAAGGTATCCTAATCATATTTTAGGCTGTGTGCAGAGTCAGACGCTAAACCATAATGTCTGTATATTAGAACATGTGGAATGATAAATGGAGATAAATCTAAAATTTATAGAACATGAACATTTGCATAAACTGCAATATCCAAACACATAGGCTGTTAAGTAACAATTGTCACAATGGGCATAAAAAATTCAACTTTGTTTCATGGAAAGAACTCAAATTCCTAACATGATTAAGATAATATATCATTTGTTCCTATCTTATTAAAGGCGTAATTGTTGTTAGACACAGAAGTGGCATTAACTCTAATCTGGCTTTATATATGTACAAATAGGAGGGGAGGTGGATCTGAAAATTGATGCTTTTGGTGATCCATAGGCATTTTATTAATGTTTGAATAATAACTGCCTGGAGGGCCTGTTATAAATTAAAGGGACGAATTGAGATATAAATTTTTATGAGGACTAGTTATACATTTCCATTATGTGTTTAAAAATGAAGGAATTACTGTGAACACAGCAGAACTCACATTTATTTGAGGTGATTTGGATGGGAGGGAAGGTGCAGTGAAGGAAGCTGCATGCTGGCTGTAAGAAAGATGTATCTGTCCCTGTGAAAAGATATATCATATGTCATGCATGAACTCTCTTCTACAGCAGACTTTTCTCTGCAGCTGATTTCGCATGATTATTTATTTGACAACAGCAAGTGATGATATAGCAGCGAGTTTTAGGCCACTTAGAGAAGAATTCTTATTCTTAAATCATAGAGGATTTCCCAAACCGAACCACTGTCAAACCAGAGTTAATCTAACAGAGAAACCCAGTAATCTCCTTGGCATACATTTCTCATTATTCCTGCTGCCTGGGTATACACATCTTCATTTGCAGCGCATCTATGGGACCAGCAGCGTTTCAGAGCTTCCTCCTGCCCTTTGCTGAGGCTGCTTTTGGGAGCTCAGCTCTGATTGCTGAGAAAGCACCAGCCTCCCTTTGTTACCCAGCAGCACTGATGCTCTGGGAGATCCTCACACAGTCCCATCAACGTGCTTTGACGTGACAGCACGGTGGATGACAGCCCAATACCTTCACTCAGGCAGGCTTGGCCCAAACCCACATCTGCTCATAAGGGAGAGGAGGCAGGATGCCAGTATTTAGACAGCCACTTAATATGTGGGGACCTGTTTTCCATGCCCTGATTAATTGGAGCTGACCACAGAGGGCAAAGCGTCCTAGATGAAATCCTCCAGTGCTTGACCCCCGTTTAGAGGCTTGATTGCTCTGGACTTCAATAGGTGCAGCAAGCTTGATGCCTTGGAGGTCTTTATCTGCATTCTCTGTGCCCCAGTTCCCTGTCTGGCTCACAGGAGTGGCTCACAGGAGTGTTTTGAGGAGGAATGTGTTGGTTGGGATGATATCCAGGGAGATGGCAATGTTGTATCATCTGCAGACATCCACACCAAGGTAGCAGCTGTGCAAGCGTGTGCCAGGGGAGCTTTATTATAAGACGCACAGCACAGGGGCCTTCCATTTTACAGCCTTTCATGTGAGTCAATTAATCAATTCAAATGTTGTAGGCTTTTTTTGTTGGTTTTTTCTCCCAACCCTCCCTTTAATTAGACTTACAAGGGCTGGGCAAGTATTTTCTTTTTGGACTAGGCCTGATTCATTGGGAAATAAGACTTGAGGATGCTCTTGGCTTGCAGAGAGTCTGAAGCATTAATGAAGTTGATAAAACATCAAGACCTAGCTCAACCTCTTTTTCCATCTTTGAAGCATCACCCTTGGCTCTACCATTCATGGAGATCACTGCGCACACTTGCAGGGGGGTGGTTGTCATTGCCTTTTGATCTACAAACAGTGGTAGATTTTTCTTTCCATTGTGGAAATGAGGTGGTCTACAAGAAATATGACAAAATGTCCTCATGGTTCTGATTCAGGTTCCTGCTTTTAGCAGTGTTTTGAGTCTGGACTCTATTCCCAGGCTGCTCAGTCTGTGGCAGTAAACCTGTCACAGACAGGTTGTGACAGCGAGAGGAAGGATCAGCTCTACTTGGTTCCTGCACAGTTGGTTCAGCTTGCTGCAACCTCAGTGTTTTGTCTCCAGTCTTTCAGCTGCGAAACACAATTTGTGACACTCCCAACCTTACTCAGATCAGCCTCGCAGTGTCTGTTACCTTCAAGGGTAGTGCCACGGTTGTCTCTCTCTCTTCTTCCTGTAAAGTCATATAAACAAAGTGATTGTTGTGAAAATACCCAACAAGCATTGAACCAGCAAAAATTATTCTCCCAGTCAATTGGAACCTTTTCTAGATGCATTACAGTGCTGGACAAGTGACTAATTAGGCAAGACTAGTACTGTCTGTTTTTCAAAGCTATGTTTTTTGTGTATGTGTTATTGAAGGGACAGATTCACAAGAGTTTCTTTAGGGAAGATGCAGGGGAATGTTATAGAGAGTAAGTTCTATGACAGAATTAGCAAATGTATTAAGTACAGTGCCAATCTGGTATAGCAGAAATGACTAAATACCCATCAGGGCCTGTCACTCGTCAAGAAGTGAAATCTTAGACCCATTTAAGTCAATGACAAATGTTCACAGAATCTGGCTGCAAGTTAATAAATGTTTGGAGCCTGTTTAACTCAAACTCTGATATTTGTCAGATTAATTATTTGACTGATCTTATTGTGTGTCAAACAATTTCTTTGTGGAGTTAGAATGCTTTGTGTTGCATTATCTATAATTCTGAATAAGAAAACATCAAGCAAGTATGGAGATATAGCATTGTAAGTTTTATATCAGGTCACAGAGAGCTATTAAGTAAAATATTAAGTAATATACTTAAATATGGGATTGTAAAATGTTCAAAATGGGCCATGGTTGAGGCTGTATTTTCTGCTTTATTTTTTTGACATTTCCTGATTTAGGAGTACTTTAATGTTCAATCTGAACTTTCTTTTATCATATTATTTTTGTTAAGCTACATTTATGTAAAAGGAAAGAAAATAACTCCACATGTACACCAATTCCTTCAGCTTACACTTGCCTTTAATACAAAACAGAGGATTTCAGGACTATATACATCAGGTGTTTTCAGCAAAGTAGCAGCAGCAAATCATAGACATTTGTCATTCCTTGGAGTTGTCTGACAGTTCTGACAATTCATTAGGCTGGGCTGAAAAGAGGTTTAGAAAGCGAAGGAAGGATCACAGGTAGTGGAGTTGCCTTTGCATGATCCAGTAATAGCTGATTTGTATCATTTTTGGTGATGGATATACTCTTCAGATTAAACTCAGCTGAATTTTCCCCATTTATTCCTTTCTTTTCTCTTTCTCTTTTTCCTTCAACAGGCGCTTCTGGGCACATTAGTATAGATTTAGACCTCGATTTATCCCAAGGAGTAGATGCCAGGAAATTCTTTCTGGAACCTCGTGATATTTGTGGCTTTTCAGAGCTAAGGAGAAGTGAAGTGAGTTTTGCTATTCAGTTTCTACCCAGCGAGGCTTTTCTTTTCCAATGTGTTTGAGTTACAATCTTTGCTGTGGCTGTACCATGACATGTGCCATTCTTCAAAGTCAGAGTCACTCCTGCCAGGATCTATGCAAATCAAACTTGTGCCTTTGTGCAGAGATAAGTGCCTCCATTATCCCACTCCTTCCACTTACTGATTTGCTTTTGAGACTCGTACACAAGCAATTTTTTGACTTAAAGGCAAATCCTCTGCAATAACGCTGAATCCGCAGAATAGGCCACCTGGAAAATATGCGATCTTCCATTGGAAAGCATTTTCCTTTTCCAGGTTGGTGGGCTGCTTCAAATCATGCAACCATGTAAAATGTCAGAGCCTGAGTGGGTGAGGAGATGCTGTCCAGCCAGGGAGCACCCCTGGGGTCAGGCAGATGATGGTCCTCAGCATCAGCAATATCAGGGAGCCTGCTTAGCCCTGCTGAGGATGAATAGCTTTCCATCTTCATCCTGTCTGTTTTATAGCTGCCACAGAAGAAGCAGTCTGAGATTGAGCCTGACCCAGTAGCATTATATGTAGGTCTTACAAGAGCATTATTTGCTCTTGATGAACGTTGGAACATAGTCCTTTAAAGAACCCTAAAATAGCCCTAAAAGGAGGGCTTTTACACCGGCTGTTTTGGGGGTTATTCTTTTAACATGTGAAGTTTTTCAGACCCTCAAAGACATCCATAAATTCTAACTAATTCCTAATTTATACCTTTTTTTTTCTTCTTCCCTAAGGTTCGAAGTGCTGACAGCATTGCCTCACCATCCATCTCGGGCACAACCCCTTCAAGTTTCCTACCTATATCAGCCAAATAGAGTGATTCAAATCAAGGTTTTGGCTGGAAAATCTCAGAAATGCAAATTATCTCAGCCTTCTGCTTCTTCCAGTGTGTCTTTATGGGTCCAAGTCAGTCTCCACCCTGCAGAAATACAGACATTTCTGTGTGACTCCACGTGCATGACTGGTCACTATAAAGCAAATAAGCGACACTCGTGGATGTTGGATCGTGTGTCATCTTGTTGGATGTGCCTCCAGATTTGCTGGTAGGTTTCTGGGGGGTTTGCAGTGATTTTTGCAGTCAGTTTTGAGTGGCAGGCTGTATGTGTTGGTTTATAATTCTGGAGTTGTGAGTGTGGGTTGAACTGTTGGCAATAATTATTTTCAATAGTGAGTCAGACGCTGAATTATAGGATCCTACCCATGGATATAAGAGAAAACAAAGAAACAAGTGGCCTTCCTCTCCCTCCCCTGACATAAGTCATATTTTGTCTCCTATGACCTCAACCGGCCCTTTAAATTTCATATCAAACATTAGAAAGAAAGAGGTCAAAGTAAGAGCCCCGCTGAAAAAAAACCCACAGCCAACCCAGATATGAACTATGGGAACTTGTCATCTTATCATCCTAATTGAAGTCATTCTGCAATGTATGACAGTCCATCATATATTCTGCTAGTCAGTGTGTCATACATGATGTGTAACAAGAGAGCTCATAAACCCAGAGGGGAAGCCCCTTCTTTTTTATTACTTTATTTGATCATTTTCATAAAAAGTCCCCTTGCTCAATACAGAGGGACGTGTTTATTAGCCCCATTAAAGCTTTGTCCATTCATTTGACACTGTGATTTACACAGCTTTACCACCAAAGAATCCCATTATTTCCAGTCTGGGGAGGTGTCTTTTTTACTGTGTGATGAAAAGTAAGTATTTAATTCCGCAGGTGAAGGCAAAGAAAGGGGAGGTTGTTGTCAGAAGCTCAGAAGTAAACAAAAGGATGCTTTAGGTATAATTGACTCAGAGAAAGAAAACATTCCCAGTAAATATAGAAAAATAAATAAATAAAGATGCTCTTCCTATGGAGTGGGAATTTAACTGGGCTCAGCTGAACTTTTTTTCTCCCCCCCGCGTGCCTTCATTAAAAACAGCAGAATTTGGCAAAATTTCCCTCTGTGTTCTACTCATGAATGTTTCTAGAAAATATCAGCTTTCATACGCAAATATTCTTGAAGTGAAATTGGTGGCTTCCTTTGAACACAGCTAGTGCCTCAAATCCCATCTGCTTTTCCTACAACACGCCCACTCATTATCTAGCTTATTTGGCTTTATTTTATTTTTTTTTAAATGAACACAAATTAAGCTATTTAATCAAATATGTACATGATTACATGGCATTTTTGCATAAGAGTTATACACCCACGGAAATCATTAATCACAGATAACAACACTATGTTAAAATTAGACATTTTGTTTTCTTTTTGTGTGCGTGTGCTTTTTAACATAATATCCTGCGTAGCTCTAATTTCACCTCTACTCTCATTTGAATAAATCAGGATTGTTTTACAACAAATTATTCATTTGTCTGTAGCTCTGATAATTGGTATTTATGTTTAGACTTGATCTCAGAGGAATAAAAATACAGAACTTGAAAACAAAATTGGTATGGTTCAAATCCCTCTTTTTCCTTTTTATTTTCCCCTTTTTTGCTTGCAGAGAATGTCACCATGAATGTCCATTGGCAAACTGGATAAGAAAGAGTGTCACAGTGCAGGACAACCTAGAAGATGACAGGTATTTCCAGGCATAGCAATGATGAGATCAAATTCCCCTCAACCTGCCTTGTTTGCTGATCTTTTAATCAGATTCAACTTCACTGCAGCTACAGCACAAGGTTCCCTGACAATGTATGACAGCATGTGACAGAAAAATATTTTGATTTTTTTTTTCTTTTTTAGTCATTTGATGCTATTTGAGATAAATCTGAAGCCCCAGCAGCAGCTGATAAATCTACCAAACTACTTTAGTGGAGGTTTTTAACTATTCAGAATTGAACTGGGGGGTCTGGGGTGTGTGTTCGTGTGTTTGTAGTGGAATCCAAACAGGAAAGCTGGGAAATGATCTAAACCCTTTGAGGTTAACCTGCCATGAAAAAGCATCAATGACAGAAGAGGACATTATTAAAAAGGAGCCAACCTTGCTCAAAAAGAACCACTTTATGAAGCCAGAGCCCAAAGAACAACACCCAGGGCTGTTTGTGTCCCCACAGGGATATGTATTTCATACCCCATCTTCATCTCTCCAAATTTCCTCTGAACAGCTTCTGAGCTGAATTCTTGAGAAAGAAAAACACCAGCAAATTTTGAATGGACTTATCAGCCTTTTCCCTACAATCTGCTTCATATTCCTCTCACACCCATGTTCTTGCAGTGTCTTGGGGAAATGCTTGGATCACAGATAAGAGAGAACAAGGAAAGGAATGAAGCAAGAAACAAACAACAAAACAAAACCAGCACCCCCCAAACTTTTTGATGAAACTCCTCTGCGAATTGTGTGTATGGTTACAGCAAAGTTAAAACTGCCTTCTTCTCCTTCACCAGTACTTAATTCCTGCTTTTAAAATCAGGTTCCCTTTGATCTTGAGGGTTGAAATGATCTGGAAATGAAACAGCCAGTGCTTTGCAGAAAATCTGGAGAGGGTCCCAGACATGGCTTTTACCTGGAAGGCTTCCAAAACAGGATGAAATCTCTCTGGTTTCAGAACAAATTGCAAGATTTTTTCTCTATGTCTAGTCCAACTGTGGAACTCTAGCCCTGATGTCTGTTGCTTCCCAAAGCACAGATGTAATAACCTCTGAGGTGAAATGAGAACGTTATTCCCCCATCTTCTCCCCTCTGCCTCCCCTCTGAGGGTTGAGGGCTGAGAATTTTATTAAAGTGAAGGCTTAAAGTTTTGGGCAGACTTAATTTGAGGAGACAGTTGGTTATAACCCAGGCTAGGGCCATCCATGTGAAGGTTGGAGGGGACAGAGCACCAGGAGCATCTGTGACATCTGGATCCTGTTGAAAGCTCAGAAATATCTGCCTGGCTTCACGTCACCTGGCCCCAGAGCCAAAAGGGCTGAGAAATGTGGTTAAGAGATTGCAGCAAACTCTGCCCTAGCAAATGAGTCCCACTGAGAAAGCAAGCACATCAATATTTTTTTGAGTCTGGTTCTTTTAGTGCATATATTTCCATATGTTGTATTAATATTTTTTTATTGGGGCATATAAGTCCATCTGGTATTTGTATTGGGAGGGTTTAAGCTGGCAGATCGCTGCACTGCTGTTACACATAGATCTGGACAGCCCTTGCAAGGGTGGGTGGTTGGATAGGGACATCTCCTCAGCTGCCTTTTTAATTGGATGAACTTCTCAAATCAATAAAGATAACCTGGTTACTTATGTCAATTAGCTCCCACTGTGCCAATGTTACAATGTAAGTATGGGCTGAGTATAAGGTGTAGCAGTTCACAGTAAAAAAAACCTCTCAGACACTGTAACAATCCTGACCCAGGTGGTGCAAAGGAGGAAAGATACCTGGGCATCAATATTAAACAAAAAACGCGCTGAAATATCACAGTTTGCCAAGACAATAAGAATCACTTTCCTTTGCATGTATTATTAAGGAATTGGGGAATAATTATCTGCTTTAATACAAGCTTTTTCCTTCTGCATGATTAACTTCAGCGATATCAACAGAGAGCGTGATGCCTCTGAAATGACAGCTCCTGGTAGCACGTTCTGGGATTAGCAAAAACAGGTTGTCACTTCACCCCAGCCAGGATCAGGCAGTCGCTGTGTGCCGAGTGCTGGACAGCAGAGCCACGTTCTGCACCAGACATCTGACAGCCCCAGCGGGCAGCAGGGCCAACCTCCTGCCAGGTGGCTCCAGGTCGGGCACGCAGGGCTCTGCTCCACCAGGAGATTGGATTTCCTCAGGCAGCACCGCGGGATTTTGGCTGTGCAGCTTCCAGACGGAAAGAAATGCTCCTCGTGCTAAGCTGTGAGGTGCTCTGTTCTTTGCACAAGGCGCCGAGCTGATTTTAAAATAGTGTGTACTTTTAAAATGCCTGCCTCTAATGCCAGTCCTGTGTCTGGCTGCTCGATGTGCAGAGTGACAGCGCACGCACCAGCCCCTGGAGGGGATGGAGAGAGAGGTAGGACAAACACGCCAGAGCTCTGAGCAATGGCATGAAACAACAACAACAAAAAAATCCTTTCATTCTTACTAAAGTTGTGAAAAGTCTGTCGTGGCTCCTGTAGAAATTAATCAATATATGGAAAACTGCATAATAAGTGTGGAGGCAGCAAGGATCTCTCCATAAATTAAAATATTGTGAGCTTCTAGAGCTAACTGGGAAAAGCACTGGGGTTACTAGCAGGGCTTTGGAGCCAAGGCAGCGTCCATGGAATTGGATCCTTCACTAGAGTCCATATTTTGTCAATGTCAGGATACATAAGAACTGTGAAACAAAGCAAATTGTATGTATGGAAGGAAACTAGAAATTTAGTCCCGCATCATATTCCTTTGAAAAATTAATAATAATTAAAAAAAAGATTAAATGTCCATATATTTTTTAAGAGAAATAGGAGGTGCAAAGATTAATTCTCCAAATCTGTGAAATATACAGTGATGAGTTACCGAGGGTTGCAGTGAGGGGGGTGTTTTTGTAATTCTGTAGGCATCTCAGTCCTCTGGTGAAATGATGTATGGGGCAATCGTCTGGTAGGGGCTGATGGGATGTAAATGAAACTAATTAAGGAAATGTCAAACATAATTAATAAAACAGGTTTAAGTTGCAAAAGCACTGTCAGCTGAATGAATGGGGAAGAATGCCTCATTCCCATTGTTTTGGGTCTTGCTTGCTTATTTATATATTTCTTTATTTATTCCTTGCTCAGCCCTTCGCCCTCCCAGCAGCTTTTTCAGTTGCACCATTCAATTAGATCTCAGAAAGCTCTTGGTAGCCTCTTGCATTTTCACCTTGCCCCCCTTGCGAGCTGGGGTCCCATAGAATAGGAGGAATATAAATTTGCCTTGTCGGCTTGCAGCCTGGGAAGAAGAAGGAAAAAAAATTAATTGCTAACTCCTCGTCTTCCCCAAGTACTACAGGACATTAACATAACCAATTTGCTTGAACTCCTCACTGGCTGCTTAATAGAGCATCTGACCAGCTGATAAGACCTGGGTGCTGCTGCCTATGATACCTTGTTATTAGCATTTTCATAATATTCAAATTTACAGCCCCATGATTCACTAGCCTCCATTCATTATTGATAAGTACAAAAAATAAATAAAAAAGGTTTATAAATAGCAAAGGGGGGTGAGCGACCTATAATTATGGCAAGCAAATTAGGGTGCATGGTAGAGTCAGTTACATTTGCCTAGGAGTAATGATGCTCAAGAACTTTTTCTCCCCAGGGACCAGAAAAATAATGGATTCCCTGGCAGCTGCAGATGGGCCAGGAAAGGCTGTCACCCAGGACGCTGTTTATATAAGTTAGGCAGAGCATATGGCTCTGTGTCCTGCCTGTAGCCACCTCCAGATATTGCAGTTTCAATGGAAAGAAATAAATACATAAATAAAAATAGCCCCTCACTGGAAGGTGGTGGTGCGGGGATATGAGAAGGAGGAGGAGAGTGGAGGGGAGAAAAAAGCAAACAACCAAAGGGAGCCTGCTCAGAAGTTTCTGTCGAGAGCAAGCCCAGCAGCTCAGGGATCAAGTAGGGGTCTTAAAGCCTTAAAGCCAGAGGCTGTTTAGCTGCATCACTGAAGAGAGAAAGATGAAATGTGATTTCTGCTAAAGCAAAACCTTTCCATGTTGCAGTCCAAGGCAGTCAAATACAAAAGCTTTGAGCCTGAGATGATAAAAATCATGATCCCAGTTGAAAGTAGGAGCTACTAGAAATAACCACTGGATACTTTATAATTTAAACCCTGTGGTTCTATTTCCATTAATCCATTCAAAGGCCTTTTTTCTTTACTAATGAAACTAGACTGAAACACAAAAGGGAGGCTGACCTGTTAGCAGGTGACTGTTTCTTGTAAGTTATTCATTAAAAACACCCTAATGCTCTGGTGCTAAAGGAGGCTGTACCTACTTCTGTATAAATTAAACATAAGTGAGTTGGTTGAAAGATAAAAAAAAAAAAAAAAAGATATTTCTCCTGACTCTCAATCCTTGTACAAGATGCATATAGAGGAAACAGCCCTTGCAGACATATGCAGTGGGTTGGGGACATTGATGTGCCAGCTGCCCCCAAATTTTTCAATTTCTGGTAGCTCCAGTTTTACTATGGGCATGAATATTACCAATATAGTGAAGTCAACTTGCTCTAGATAAGATAAGAATGAGCTTGAGTTTGCCTCTTGATAGAGCCAAAGTTGTCTCAGAAATAGAAGGGAAGGACTTTGGCAGGAAAACTGCAGTTTGGATGTTTCAAACTTTGATTTTTTTCTTTACTAAATTTATTTAAATTATTGGTGAATCTGTGTTGATTTGTATAATTCCATCTTTCTCTTCTGAAGTTTGGATAATGTGCCACTGGCATTTCTTGTAAAGATACTGTATCGGAAAACACCAATTTTCCCAGCACTTCTATTATGCAGAAGTATTAGTAAATATCCACTCTAGACTGCATCTATGTCTGAGTTTCCAGTTCTTGAGAACTTTCCTGCAGCTTCTCAAACAATGAAGAGAGGATATTTATTAGAGCAATCTTCCAGTTACCCCCCTCAACAGCCTGTGCCTGGAGCCTTGTCTATTTTAATATATGCAACAAAAAGAGCAAACTGAAACTTATTCATCTTTATTCTCTGAATTGAGGCAAAGTTTATGAAGTGGACACAAGCTCAGGAAGGAATCCTACTCCAGCAGCAAACCCTCTCCCCAGAACATCCCCAGCCAGTCCTGCAGAAGCTCACACCTGGACCTGAGCTGTCCATTTTCCACACATGCATTCATCTTCCAGAAACATCCTTAGGCATCCTGTGGGCTCTGCTCTGCCTTAAAACTCACATTAGCATCATCGAGGGAAAATATAAATTTAAACTGACACAGACTTGCTTGTCTCTTCCTTTGTGTTTAAACACAGATGGTTGCTTTTGTTGTGCCGCCGCATTTCAGCCAAGGCAAGCAGCAAAGTACTTAACTGGAATATATATCTCTTTTCCTTTCCAAACATTCACAGGGGTGGGTTTCTTTTGTGGTAGTTTTTTTTTGTGGTTTTTTTTGGTTTTTTTTTTTTTTGCTAGGTGAAGTATCATTCTTCAGAATATATACAATGTTTTCATGCATCTTAATCTAATCCATTAGTCCTTGTAATTTATTGTTAACTGCTTGGATGTAGAGGCCATGACAGCTTTGAGTAAAGCATTTAAGCAGGCATCTGCTTTGTATAAATTATAAGAACCTTGGTCACACAAGGTTTCAGACAGAGACAAAGGTCTCTTACCAGCATCTGTAGCCCTGGGGATAGTAATTTTTTTAGTCTTTCTTTTTTACTGTAAGAAGCTTTGGATCTTGGAAACAGTAAAACTATCTGCAGACTTGCATTTACTTTTGTATTTGGTATTGTTAACAGCTCCAAGGCAGGAGTAACGTGATTGGCATGGGGTTTGGGAGCTGGAAAACACTTTGTTAGTCTCAAATCAGTTCCTTGGAGGCTAAAGCGCTGATTAACTATAACTGGAGTGGATTGTTTTAATCTGACTGCTATAGTATTTTATGTCTGGTCATTTAGGCTTATTTCTGTAAATACTTCAATAAGCTTGAATCAATTACTTTAATGTGTCCCTTTGTCTCCTGCCATCGGACATGCCATGGTGTCATGACATAAGTAATCAGAACAGCAGGATCAGGGAAAAGATACCTTGTGCCACTGAGCAAGGAACTTATTTGTGAACAGGAAAGCAAAAAAAAAAAAATTCTTAATATTATCTTAATGTGTCCCAAAGCCCTTTCTCTCCTCTTTTGATTACCCTCCTGGTTTTTGCCTAACTATGAGACATCTGAAAGGACAGCAAGATTTTGTTGGGGGTACAGAGATGACCAAAGGTCCACTGTGCAAATACTTTTGCTGCCTTCTCACTTGTGCTGCTTAGATTATTTTGGCTCAGTCCTGAAGGTTTTTGCATTGCAAATTTCCTAACTAAACCAGAATAAGTCTGCTGGAGCAAACTAATTGAAGCAGAGCACTCTGCATCTCACTTTGGCGCCATCATTCCATGCCACAGACACACAGTTCAGAGTTAATAAGAATGCCATGTCAGGGATGCCACTCACCAAGGTGAAACACAATGCAGTGGTGGACAAGCCTGGTGAGTGGTTTTCCTCTTCAAAAGTAGCTTGGAGACATGGCTTCACTCTCTTTAGTACCTCTGGCTGCACAAAGGCAGAGCTGTGAAGGTGATGGGATCATAGCAAATCTACCCGAGTGCAGAGCTTTGGTTTAATTTTTTTCTATATCAATGGCTGGTCTCAGCTCTAATTAACCTACTCCCCTATCAGTCCATTCCCTCCCCACATGCCATCTTTTCCCCTTCCTCCCTGTGATCTCCATTTCACTGCAGAGATGGCCTGGCAAAGAGACATTATTCTATTTAGAAGCTGAGCACCTCACTAGGGGTGACAGGCCTGTTTTTAGGTCATTTATCTAATTGCTCTTTGCAGATAAGAATTAATTAGCCCGATTATTTTTCTTAGTTTTTGGATGGGTTCCCCACCTGGAGAGAAGAAATTCCTCCATGTCAGTGATTAATTGCTGAGCCAGAAGCTTTCTGCCTTGCATTTGTAATAAATGCCGACTAGTTCTTTAGGTCGCGTTAGGAACCAGGCAGATTGTGGTTAAAATGCACGGGATAATAAAGCATTTCTACAAACAAGATCACTGCCATTAGATTTTGATTAAATATTTTAATTTATCTGGAGGTTGAGGGACTGCGGGAATCAAAAAGGTTTAAGGTCTCCTATTCCCAGCACTTTCTGATGAGAGTCGCCCTATAGCCCTTTGATCTAAACCAGATGAAGCTCATGGCAGTGCTTCAGCTCAGGATTTGGCACAGCTGGTTTGTCCCACACTGGTCTGAATGCTCCTAGGGCCGTGAGTGTGCAGCCAGCTCAACTCGCTTCTGATAACATTTCGTGAACTACAGGAGTCTGGTCGAGCTGAGGGAGGAAAGGTTAAGATTTGTGTGTGAAATTATGACAGGCTTCTATCCAGCTGCGTTTAACACAGCTGCTTTTCCTTTCCCCTTTTCTTCCCCTTCACCTTCTCCTTCCCTTTTCCCTTTCCCTTCCCCCTCCATTTCCCTTTTCTTTTTGTTTCCATTCCCTTTTTTCACCTTTTTATTTCCATAAGAATTCTGAGCATTCAGCCCAAAGACAAATCTATTTTTTCTGCGGGGCCAACTAAAGAAAAACAGCGGCCTCGATTCACAAGCTGGTCAGCCTAGGACAGGTCCCTTTTCCAGGATTATAGAGCAAGCCAGACAGTATGATCTCCTGTGCCCTTAAAACCTGATTTCTGACCTAGAAAGTTCATGGAAGAAAATTGGAGTCTTGCCATCTATTTTGCCGTGCTTGTGAACTGTTTGAAGCCCCTGATGTCCCAATAGAAGAAATTAATTGCTGGTGTTAGAGCAGCTTCTCTGATCACAAAAGATGTGGGGCTGGCTACGCTGTGGTGATGGTTTCTGCCTCGGAGAGACGAGGGTTGGGGAGGCACAGGGATGAGATCCTGGGTCTGAGTCCCTCTGTCTCACAGCTGAGAGGGGTTAGGAAGGCAATATCAGGGCATCTGGCACCAAATACCTTGGCTGTGTTTGTTGTCCAGCATAAAAAAAAGTAAATCTTCCTCTTGCTAAAAGACTTGCAAAATATTTATGTTGGAGAGAAATAAATTAGGGTCCTTGAGTGGATTTTGTTACTGGGCAGTTATTTTTCTGGGGATTTTGTTCATTTGCTTTTTAAAGGAAGGGAAAAATAAAAAAAAAAAAAAAAAAAAAAAAAAGAGAAAACTTGAAAACAAGACAATTTTTTTCCCTGACAAGTGGGCTGAAGACAGACGAGGAGAGCTGATATTTCTCTAATGTATAGGAACAATATTGTATTGTGAAAAGTAACTTTCCATGGAACTTTGTCCGATTCTTACTCAACCTTAGTATTTTGAGAATACCATTCCCAGCTGTGATTTAAGGATTGAAAAATCTAGTGCTATACTGATGGTTAGTCAAAAATCAATGCTTAAAAATTGCTCCTAACTTTGAGCTATGGGACTATGAGAGCTATTTTGGCTTTGAGTAAAGCTCATGTGTATCAGAGATAGTTGATATTTCTCACTACCTACAGAACAATCAAAATTATTTTATCTTTTCTTTTGGTAAATTGAAGTTTTATTCTGGTCACCATTGCTGCCTGTATTTCATAACTAGACAGAAATACACATGCAAGACAGAGGACCTATTTTTTTTCCTTACCAGATACCCAAGCAGAGTCAGATACTTGAATTCAGTGGGAGTCGAGGTGCTAAATACTATTCTTGATCTTAGCAATTGGACCCTATTTTAACTAATATATTACATAATAATTTGGGAATAAAAACAACATGCCTCCATGTCACTGGGAAATTACATTACAGCCCAATTTTCTGATGCAGAAATGGAGTCCCTGTGAGTCTGAGCTTTTTCCTTAATGCCACAAAATGTGTCACTGGAAAAACTTCACACAAAACCTTAGCAATATCTGCTCTTGTTTTAAGCCCACACCAAACCATTTAATTTAAGTAAGATTTACCTCCCCCACCTGCAATGCCATTTCTGGCACTGTACATGAGGAAATTTAACAATATCGAGTGGCCTGAGTTATGATAATGAAAGATGGTTGCTAAGAAAAAGCATGATGATAGCCAAGAAATTAATATTACAGAGATGAAAATCTTCTTATAGACCCAAAATAATAGATGTTCTGTATCAATATATGACTAATCAGCACTCAAGGATTTATCTTTCAAATTACAGAACATGGTGGAGACATTTAATGCAATATGGTCTCCCTTCAGAGAGATACAGTATGTGACTAAATATCTCCAATGAGTAATATTCACACTTACTCAAGTACTGTAAATATATCCCTG